CGGCTTTTTAAAGCCGCACCAAAAGAGACACGCGGCGGCAGGATCACATAGATCCCCTGAGCCGCCGCGCACTTCCTCCCCGGCACGATCAGATGCCGGGGGGGGAAGCCACTGAAAGGGGAGCGAGGCAGCCGAACTGCACATGTGTGTGCATGCGCAGTTCGGCCGGGAGCCTGGATTGCTCCGGACAACGGCCGTGATCCCACGACCACGCTTGATGCGGCGTTCCCGGTAAGTCCTCCTCTGGGGGTGGTTCTTTTTTACTGCAGGTTTTCAGCCTGAAGGGCCGGATCGGGGATGGGTGCATGCCGCTTCCCAGATGTTGCGGTGAGATCGCACCCGTTTGCTGCGCCCCCAATCCGTCCCTCTCCCAGGCCAAAACCTTCCGTGTGACCGGGGCCTAGGAAACTCCTTTCCCCATCCAAATAGTGCAATTGCTAAGTCTGGGGATAGACAGGCAGCTTCCAGCTAGCCATATCCTGCATTTCAGAAGTCTAGCCACAGGTGTCTGGGGTGCTAAGGCTCAAGGTGAAGCAAGAAGGGAGTGGTTCCTGTACTCCTGAAGCTGAGTGATAAGAAACTGGAAAAGTGGTTTTTATATCTCCCTTTCTGTGCTCCATATTGAAAGGGAGAGGCTGAGCAATGCATGCCTCACGGAACATACAAACCGGCCTAAACCTCACATTGACATATTCCAGCTCCAGGAAGAGCCAGTTTGGTGTAGTGGTTAAGTGCGCGGACTCTAATCTGGGAGAACCGGGTTTGATTCCCCACTCCTCCATTTGCACCTGGCTGGATGACCTTGGGCAAGCCATAACTCTGGCACAGCTGTTCTTGAAAAAGAACAGTTTCTGTCAAGAGTTCTCTCAGCCCCACCTACCTCACAGGGTGTCTGTTGTGGGGAGGGGAAGGGAAAGGAGTTTGTAAGCCGCTCTGAGACACCTTTGGGTAGTGAAGGGCGGGGTATAAATCCAATCTCTTCTTCTTCTTCTTCTTCTTCTTAAACCTCTCTGGGACTTGGCAGCAAATTCCCTTTCAAACAGATTCAGCATTCTGTGGCTCTTGAAGGGCAATGGGCTTGCTTTGTCCTCATTGGGCCTTGGGGGCAGGGTTTGTACAAATGAATATATTTTTGCATACCAAAAAATATCTTCCATTGGCCCCATTTCACTCTCCTATATCTAGACATGAGAAGCAGCGATATTAAATTTTATAAGGATACTTGTAAAAGAGACTGCTGAGTGGGAACCATAATATTGGTAAAGATTTTCCTCTGGCCCAAACTACAGATTACAGTTAACACTTGGTCACCATGGGGACTTGCAGCCATATGGAATTGAAAGCAAATCAGCCAGTATCATAATGCCCCTGTATAAATCGATGGTGCGACCTCATTTGGAGTACTGTGTACAGTTCTGGTCACCACACCTCAAAAAGGATATTATAGCATTGGAAAAAGTGCAGAAAAGGAAACTAGAATGATAAAAGGGTTGGAACACTTTCCCTACGAAGAAAGGTTAAAACACTTGGGGCTCTTTGGCTTGGAGAAACAATGGCTGAGGGGTGATATGATCGAGGTTTATAAGATTAGGCATGGGATAGAGCAGGTAGAGAAAGAAGTACTTTTCTCCCTTTCTCACAATACAAGAACTCATGGGCACTCAATTAAATTGCTGAGCAGTCGGGTTAGAACAGATAAAAGGAAGTACTTCTTCACCCAAAGAAATGAAATTCACTGTCACAGGAGGTGGTGGCGGCTACAAGCATGGATGGCTTCAAGAGGGAATTGGATAAACAAATGGAGCAGAGGTCCATCAGTGGCTATTAGCCACAAAGTATAGATAGGAACTCTCAGTCTGGGGCAAGTGATGCTCTGTATTCTTGGCGCTTGGGGGGGGCAACAGTGGGAGGGCTTTTAGTGTCCTGGTCCCACTGCTGGACCTCCTGATGGGACCTGGTATTTTTGGCCACTGTGGATGGTATTTTTGGCCACTGTGGATTTTGGCCAATGTTGGACTGGATGGGCCATTGGCCTGATCCAACATTGGCTCCTCTTATGTTCTTATGGCAGCTTGAAAGTTCCGTGGGAACTCAGTTTGTATTAGGACTGCAGTCCAGGGGTGGAAGGGCTCCAGCTTCCTCCCATGCTGTTATCCCAATCCAAAAGGCCCCAGGGGATATTATATACTTGGGGGGGGGGGACTGCACTTGCATTGAATGTTTGCTTGTGCAACTCCTGTTCCAAGTGAAGTAAAACTCTTGGGTTTTTTTAATCCCTTCTTTTCTCTCTCTTTATGTGTACATGTGCAAGAGAGAATGAATTCCCTCCCTTGGGCTTGCCCCATTATATGCTAGTGTTACTTTGCTAGGTTTTACACTATCATCATCATAGTATATCATGGTGCAGATCTGGATTGAGTTTTTTATGTTTATGGTATAATGCTGATAGAAGCTTTACATTAAAAAGTGGTTTTTCTGTCCAAAACTGAAATGGTATACTAAAAACACAGTGGGATTTGCTTCTGATTAAACAGGACTGGACTGCAGAGGTGAAACCCTCACTGCACCTAACTGGAACTTCTGTTGAGATCATCTTTTTGGAAAGCCTGTGGTATATAGCAAGGGCCTATAGCTCACTAACAAACCACAGGCTTGGCATCCTGTTGAACAGCGTTTCACAGAACCTTTGCCTGAAATGTACATTCATTTACTTAGGTTATAAATACCCCAGGGATTTTTCACCACTGAGAGCCCAAAGTGCCTTGAAACATTCTCACCTTCTCCATTTTATCCTCACAACAACCTTGTGAGGTAGGCTAGGCTGTTAGTATGTGACTGGCTCAAGGTCACCCAGTAACCTGGGTGGCAGATTGGGAATTTGAACTTGGGTCTCCCAGATCCTAGTCTGACATTCTAACCAATACACCATGCTGGCTCTCATGTTGAAGAGCTGATATCTGAGTAATGTGTAACTGTGACATTTTGAGGTTGGGTACACCTCCTGCAGCAGCCATTTTGTGGCTAGCTCTGCCTCCTGTGCCCACAACACTTTGTCAAAATTCCAGTGGCACCTGCAGATTCAAAAAGGCTGGGGATCCCTGTGCTAGCTGTATTATATTGAGCTTTGAATACTGTAAGGGATCAGAAATACAACTGTGTTACCTTAATCTGAGCCATGTAATCCTTCTTCCTGTGATTAAATACTTTGTGGGCTCCATTTTTCAGAACTAGATTCATTCCTTCCACAGTACCAGCTGTGCCCAAAACCTTCAAACCATAAGCTCTTGCAATCTGGCATGTTGCTATTCCAACCTAGAAAATTGAAATAAGATCTTGGGAGAGAAAGAGCGCTCATGTGTGCGACACATACTATCCCATGCTTTCTTTATCCAATAAAGTTTCCAAAGGAACATTTTGAACCTTTATCCAGGAGGCTGTTCCATAGACACGGGGGAGCCACTGAAAAACTCTGATCTCAGATCTTTGCCAAATGTATCTAAAAGAGGTTACTGGCAATAAACCCCACTGGAAAGAATGGAACTGCCATGTGTAAATGCTGAGAGAGGCCATTCTTCAAGTACATGGGCCCCAGATCATGAAGTTATTAAACATGAACACTAACATCTTGAATTCAATTGACTTGTGTACCGTGTAAATAAGGATTAGGATTGTCAAACGTATGATTCCTTTTCTTTGTCCATTCAAATACACTAAACATATCAGTACATACCAATACTTGTTGTAAACCACCCAGAGAGCTTCGGCTATGGGCAGTATAGAAATGAAATACATAATAACAATAATACAATCATTAATACATGCCCAGGAACACTATAAAGTACATTTGCACCTGAAACACTCCCGTGTAACAAAGTAGTATCTGTGCCTAGAATAACTTTATTATCCTTATCTATGAAGGAGAATTCACTATTTTGTATAGAACAGAGTGCTTGGGCCAATGTGTAACATACCTTTCAACAAAGAAAATTAAATTTCACACAATTTACAAGTATTTAGCTACTACCAAATTGGAAGCAAAGTGGCAGAAAGTAAGAACTATGGAAGGGCACATGCTTAGCTCCACAAGAAGCCCTGTTTACAGACCAAACCTACACGTTTCCCATTAGTTTTCCTCCACACCATTGAAGGCTAACATACTTGTCATGATCTGAGCTGTGCCACCAGAGGCCTACTAGGCCCAGGAAGCCTGGCTAGCAATAGCGGAGGCGGGGCCTACAAACCCCAGAAGGCCTTGGGAAGTTTTGGTGCTGATTTTGACCAATAGGGAAGAAGAGGGCTGAGGAATAAAAGAACTGGTACAAGAGGAAAAGCTGTTCTTCTTCCAAGAGGGCAGAGCCAGAAGGAAGGCTGCTGCAGGGGAAGAGACCCTCATCCTGAGAGGAAGAGTGAGCAGACTGAGGCTCACTTGAGATAGTGAGCTAGGGACAGTATTTATTTAGACATGTTGGGGCATTTGATTTTTCTTTTCACCCACTTACTGTTATTATTCTGCACCTTGTTTGTTTGACCTCCTATAAAATAAACCTTTTCCTTGTTGTTTACTCTGCCTGGTCCTCACGGCTATTATTCAGCCAAAAGGAAGGTCTGAAGGTCTTGGGAGGGTGCTCTGGGCCTACTCAAGGGATCCTAAATCCAGAGTGGTGGCAGCGTCAGGTGACACCCCACCTGAGCCGTGACAATACTATTGAAAGAAGACAATAAGAAATCTAGGCTACTCAATGCCTGTATGTACACAACAGGAAGAACCATGACAACAATCATCCTCAGCATTGTGTATTTACCTCAGATTCAGAACAGGGTCAACAGAAGACTGACCTACAATTGGATCTTAAGCACCAAAAAGGCAAGCTTTTAGAAGTTTTTTTTTCTGCCTCCGTCTCCTCCAGCAGCCATTTAGGAGGCATTAAAAAGTGATTCTAGTGGTCAGGGAATGTACACCAACAAAAAGCCACACAACACACACAGTGGCACTAAGCAGGGAAAGATGGACAAGAGTGCCCCACCTGCCTGCTCCACAGCAGCATTTCTATTGATGCTAGAGTTTCTGCTAATAGGAAGACTTCAATTGTTTTCCTCTACACAACACTCCCACCTGTGTTGCACAGCTCATCCTTCATGTGGGTTCCTCCATCTTCAATCTACAGATGATTTCCAGAGGAAGTGAAAGACACACCCTGCCCAGCACCTTCTGCAAGTGATGCGTAGGACCCAACCCTCGATTTTTAACACTAATGTTAGGATTATGTCACTAACTCTATAATGTTATAGGATTACCATTAAAGCCCCTTAATTTTTCAAGATACTCACTCCTCCACTTGCTCCATGAACTAGCAAGGTTTCTCCTGCTTTAGCATCCCCTCTGGAAAGAAAATTCAGATCATCAACATGACAACTATTTTATTCTTCTATGCAAGCATGGTATAAATTTATAACAAAGAAAGCCAAGACTATATTCAGCCTGTACTTTGTACCTGATTTTCACCAAGCAATAGCTCCAGTATTTTAGAGCTCATTTATTAAATTCATGGCAGCAGCAGAATTTTCACAAATGTCTCTGCTAATTTTCAGAATAGCTACAGTATCATTTGGTATATGACAGGCTCTAGAATATAGCCAGCTTCCTTCAGATCACAACTTCCCTAGCAGTACTGCCAACAGAACAAGTTTGTATGATATTTCTTAGATGCAGATCCCACCAAGATTTTCTTCATGTTGTTCCTCAGCCTCTGAAGTGCTCCTCTTTTATGCCAGCTGGGGGGCTGGGGTTTACAGCAGGCCCACAAGTGTGGGGAATTAAAGACATAAGACAAATGATCAGGAACACATATGGCCTCAAAGATAAGGTGGAAAGAGTCTATTTGAATGGTCCATGACCAATTTCAGTATGTGACATCTTACTTTTGAAAGAGAGCATGGAATGCAGTAAAATATGGAATTCCAAGTGCTGCGCCTTGCTTGAAATCCAGTTTATCAGACAAGGGAAAGACTGTGTCAACTGAAGCAACGGCATACTCTGCATAGCCACCAGAAATGGTACTAAGGGTAAAAACCCTGTCTCCGTTCTGGTAGGAGAAAACAAACACCAAGTGAATCGCTGTGACAAACTGTGTTCCATAGTTTGCAACAAAAATATTAAGCAGCATTTTCACAAAAGATGAATAATACCCCGTTATAGGTGAAAGGACAACAGAAGGACTGTGCTAGACAGCTGTCCCGTCTATACTTAAAACACACAAATCAGGAAATCCATAAAACACCAGAAATAACAAGAGTTTTAACACTTAATGGGAAGAAAAACATTTTAGGCAGCTCTTGATACTTTAAACACTCCTCCTTGTTTGCAAGCAAATACATGGGGCAGAGATGGAGCTGGTCGCCCTCACGGACGACCTCTGCAGACAGCTGGACCGAGGCAGTTGGCGCTGCTATTATTGCTTGATCTGACAGCAGTGTTTGACACAGTCGATCACGACCTTTTGATCCACCACCTCGCCAGCATAGGAGTTTGTGGGGTAGTCTTTAAGTGGCTTACCTAATTTCTCCAGGTCAGGAGGGTAGCATTAGGAGAGAAAGTGTCGACTAGATACCCCTTAATATGTGGGGTCCTTCAGGGGGCAATCCTCTCTCTGATGTTTTTTAATATATATATATGTGTGCCTCCTTGACCAGCTGGTATGGGGTTTTGGGATAGGGTGTTACCAGTATGCTAATGACATCCAGCTGTATCTGCTGATGGACCGCCTGGATGCCTCCCCTCAAAATCTGGCTGATGGGTTGGAGGCCATGGTGGGGTGGCTGAAAAAGAGCTGGCTGAGACTGAATCCAACTAAGACGAAGGTTCTGTGGCTGGGTGCAAGGATTCAGAACTGAAGCACCAGCTCCCTACACGATGGTGCACCCTTAATAACCATCAGGAATTTGGGTGTGGTTATGTATGCCTCCTTATCAACTGGCCCCCTTTCTGTTTCACCCCGACCTAGCCACAGTAATCCATGCAATGGTCACCTCCAGATTGGACTACTGTAACTTGCTCTATGCTGGCCTTCCCTTGAGACTGATCCAGAAGTCTGATTATTCAGAATGTTTGACAAATGACCATCCCAAATTGATACAGATTTGGCTATTTGCTGTGATTCATTTGCAAATTTTTTTGTGGATAAAGTCCCTAAACTCCACCTGGAGTTGACTGCTGAATTTGATAACAGTAGTGGGATGGGGGCTCCGCTTGCTCCATCTGGTTCCTTATTGGGCTCTTTTGGCCTACTCACCCTTGTAGATGTTGACAGGATCCTAACAGCTGTGAAGCCAACTACTGGCTCCTTGGATCCTTGTCCCTCGTGGCTGGTAAAATCATGCCACGAAGTGGAAAGTGGCCCTTTGAGACAGATTATTAATTTGCCTTCTCTCACAGGGCTGTTTCCCCAGCTCCCTTAAGGACGTGATTGGTAGGCCTTTGCTAAAGTAACCCTCCTTAGATAAAAAAGAGCTGGCCAATTAACACCCAGTATATAATCTACTTTTTCTGGGGAAGGTAATTAAATGAGCAGTGGCCGAGCAATTCCAGGTTTTCCGAATGAGACATCTGCCCTGCACCCTTTTCAATCGGGTTTCAGGCCTAGCTTTGGGACGAAGACAGCATTGGTCACTTTGGTTGATGATCTCCATTTACATCTGGAAAAAGGGCACGCCAGCCCTGTTGATCCTTCTGGATCTATCAGCAACCTTCGATACAGTTGATCTTTTGGTCCTGATCAACCACCTTGACTCCATGAGGGTAAAGGGCACTGGCCTTAGTTGGTTCTCCTCATTCCTCCAGATGTTGCTATTGAGGAGAAGAGGTCTTCCCAACCAGACCTGAATTGTGTGGTCCCACATTTGATCCTTTCTCCGATGTTATTTAATGTATATATGCACCCTCTTGCCAAGATCATCAGGAGGTTTGGAGTTGGGTGCCATTAATATGCTGACGACACTCAGCTCTTCCTACTGCTGGGTAAGCAGCCAGCGGTAGGATCCTCAGCACTATCCCAGGGCCAGGATGCGGTACTCCAATGGTTAAGGGGGAGCAGGCTAAAGCTGAATCCATCCAAGATGGAGGTCATGTGGCCAGGAAAGACCGAGATGCTAGCTGGAGGGTCACTCCCAAGACTCAGTGATGTCAGCTGACAGCTGTAGACTCTGTAAAGAGCCTTGGGGTGTGGTTGGATAAACAAGTGTCCATGGTAGCACAGTCAGCATTTTTCCATTATGCCAGACCCACCTGGCTCCTTATTTGTCTGGGTCAGACCTTACCACATTGACCTATGCAACGTTCACCTCCAGATTGGACTACTGCAAATTGCTCTCTGTAGCGCTGTCCTTGAAAACACTTTGGAAACTACAGGTGGTTGAGAATACAGCTGCCAGGTTGCTGACTGGAACATCAGAGCTAGCTCACAGTACTCCAATGCTGCAGCAGCTGCACTGGCTACCAATTAGTTTCCGGACTCAATTCAAGGTGTTGGTGTTAAAGCCCTCACATCTATGGGACTGTCTCTCTCTTCGGTCATCATCTAGCAGATGCCTGGCCCCAGGATGGCTAGGTTAGCTATCACCAGAGGAAGGGCCTTCTCAATTGTGGCCCCTACCCTGTAGAATGCACTCTTGGATGACACCCATGCCCTGCCAGACTTGTTTACTTTCTGCACGGCATGCAAAGTTGAATTGTTTAGGTTGGCCTTTGGAGGGTAACACATATTTGGGCTGTTTAATAGTGCTATGGTGATAGCCACGTATTTTAATATTTTAATGTTAATATTTTATATTCGTTATTTGTTTTTATGTTGTTTTTACCTTATTGGCTTTAATACTGTAAATCACCACAATACCCCTTTGAGTAAGTAGCAACTACAAAATCTAATAAATAAATAAAATACAAATTAAGGAATAACTTTTTTAAGGAAATGAAGCATTATGACCAAAATGCAGCATATTCTATAGGCAAATAAACCAACTTTTACTCTTAAATTTGGGGGCCAGGAGACCAAAAAGAGAAACAATAGGAAAGAATAGGTATGTGTACAGGACACAAATTGGGGTGTGTTATCCAGCCTCTATTTTCTATCAGTGGAAGGACTCTACCATTGGCAGAGGGGGAGAGAAGAGATTTTTGCCAGAAGTCCCCAAGCTTTTAAGCCTATGGGCACCTTCAGAGTTCTGACACAGGGTGGCAGGAATATCTAAAAAATGACTGGTGTAGGAGGCAGCAGCAACTACAAAATGTCAGGGAGCAAGGTCATGTTTGACTCTAATAGTAACTCAACAACCCTTCAGGCAGAAGCTCGATTCAACAGGAGGCCTTTTAAAATGAACATATTGGAAAATATTTTCTTGAATTCAGGCAACTTATCTTTAGTCACACATTGCAGATCTTTGTGCCATGGTGGCAGCTGATGCTGAAGCAACTTCTTAAAATCTGCACAGCCAATAAGATCTCCAACAGCCAATCAGAATCCCTGCTGGGCAAAAGCAGCACCTGGCCTCTCCCACCTTCTAAAAATACTCAACAAGCACCATATGGGGGACCCTGCACCAGAAACCTCTGAATACCGGTGCTAGAAGGCAACATCAGGGAAAGGCCTTAATCTTTATGCCCTGTTGTTGGACTGCCAGAGGAACTGGCTGGCCGCTGTGAGAGACACGATGCTGGACTAGATGGACCACTGGTCTGATACAACAGGGCTCTTCTTATGTTCTTCATTTATCCCCATTGTGAGTATATGGATTTTTTGATCTTCAGAAGCAGAATTTCAGAGAGAGAGGAAGAGTAGGAAAGTTCCATCCTGCTCATAGTTCTGATATCACCTCATGTTTCATGATGGACTCTAATTAGTGACCAACAACTGTCTCCAATGGTTGGTGCATGCTTGGAATCAGTGAAAAACTGTCCCCTTCCATCAATCGAAGTTTTCCACTAGATCCAAACCCAAGTGTACACATAGAAAATGAGCAGCTAGATTGTAAACAATACCTTGAAAGCAGGCACATGCTCTCCAACTGCTTCTATTACCCCAGCCACATCCGAACCTGGTGTGTAAGGCAGATCTGGCTTTCTAGCATAAGTCCCAGAACGAATGTAGGTCTCCACTGGATTAATGCCACAGGTGTGAACTTTAATGAGAACCTGAAGAAGAAAATGGTATGTGTTGAATAACTGGTTGTTTTTACATGCATGCTTTTTAAATAATATATAAAATGAGTAAGTTGTTCATACGTAAGTAGCATAAAGTCAGCTTATTAAAAGTCACTCAGAACTTTACATCAGTCATTTAGTTGCTGATGGAAGAATTTTATTGTAAATAGTGATGTGTGCTATTCTTTCATACTGGATCCATTTTTCCTCTGCCGACATGTCAGTTTGTGTACTTTTTTTTTGGAGCCTATAATAAATTAGTTAAAACAACAAAATTCCATTTATTTAAGTCTCAATTTAAAGCATTCACTTTCACCTGGTTTGCTTTTGGTACTGGCAAGGAGACATCTGACTGCAGCTTAAGCACTTCAGGTCCACCAAATTCAAACACTCTGACAGCTCTCATCACAGTTCTCCCGGTTGCCATAGTAACTTGGAAACTCAAGTGATAAAGATTCAGTGTGCTAATCTTCACTGCCTCTTCCACTTCAAAAGGGAAAGGATAAAAAACCTTGCTCTTCAGCTGAAATTTAAATCAGAGGTTCACCACGCATTTCATTCTGTTCCACAATGTGTTGCTTCTAGATTTTTCTTTAGCTTGTGAAGAAAGGGAAAAAATACCATCAACCAATGTGGAAAAGAAACTAAGCTTATACAATTAATTAAGCATGTTAAAAATGCATACAAACAAACCTATCAGCTTGGAAATAAGACCTTTTGGGGATCACATCTTCAGAAAGTTGTACTTAAAATAATAAAAAGATAATTAGTCTATTCACTGAAAAGCAGTAGAATAATTTTTGTTCTTGATATATTATCAGTTCAGCCTATACAGATCCCATCCATATTGCTAGTTATATGGGAAAAGGGAAAACAGTTTCACTGCCAGCTTGACATACGTTATCTGGAATGCAACAGAAATGGCAATGATTTTAGTACACACTGCTTAAGAACCATATTTTTAAATGTGCTTCAGTGAACCTTAGGAAACATTTATACACAGCATTTAATTCTGGCTTCCCTAAAATGTGCACCAGAACAGCTAAAGCTTGCCACTACACATTCAATCAAATTTATTTCTAGTGGTTAATGGTAGTTATTACATAGTGTAAGAAGGGCTAGTTCACACAATGAATGTGCATCACTTGTGAGATAAATGAATGAATCAGCCAGCCCTATGACTCAGTTCTAAAGGAATACAGGTCTACAGGAATTTAAAAAAGACTAAGAGAGCCAGCATAGTATAACATTTAAACCATGTCAAACTCATTTGTTATGAAGGCTGGATCTGACATAAATGTCACTTTGTCGGGCTGGGCCTTGCGTGCCATAAAATGTAACATTAGGTACCGGAGGTATAAACTTTATAAAGGTGATTTCAGATGCCAAATGGCAATAGCAGACTTGATTGGATTAGGTGTGATATGCAGAGGGGTAGTAGGTGTGGAGATACCAGCACTGGTAATGAGACAGGAATGGGGGGAGGAAACCTAGGTCTCAATTTGGTACAGGAGGATTCAGTCCAGGAGGATACAAAGAATAAATGGAAATAAGTCTGAAGAAGTGAGCAGTGACTTACGAAAGCACATACCCTACTACAAATGTTGTTAGTCTACTGCTATTAGAAACCACAACATTCAAAAATCAGTGGGGGGGACATTTTAACCTTCCAGGGCATTCAGTTGCTGACCTAAGAGTAGCGGTTCTCTTATAAAGGAATTTCAAAGGGAGATTAGAAAGAGAGTCTGCTGAATTCCAACTGATAATGAGGCTCAAGAGAATGCATCCTCCTGCACTGAATTGAGACCTAGGTTTCCTCCCCCCATTACCAATGCCCCGTTACCATTTGGCATCTGAAATAACTTCACTCTTCAAGATATAAGGACAGATAGACTCACATTCTAGCGGTATCTGAAGAAGTGAGCAGTGACTCATGAGCCCTGCCACAAATTTTGTTAGTCTTTAAGGTGCTACTGGACTCTTGCTCCCTTCCACTAATAAAGAATGCAAGCTGTGCTGTTAGGTTTCTCCCCCCTTCCATCTATTTGAACTGGAAAGGGGGATCTCTCCATGTGCCATGGGACTCCATCTCTCTCTCTCTTGCATGCTCTCTCTGGCTCTTTCCC